GATGATGATGACGACGATGATGATGACGCTGATGATGATGATGATGATGACAATGACGATGATGATTATGAAACTGTTGATGATGATGATGATGAGGAGGAGGAGGAGGAGGAGGAGGATAAAGTCTTATATGCTGCAGTAGACAGCAAAGACAGAGTCTTAGTGGCAAAGGTCAGTGTTGATTCAAATACATTTCAACTTTCTAGATACACTTTTCAGGGAGGGCAACTTATTGCGGAAATGGTCTTCAAACGATCCTTCTTACTCCGTGAACGTATGACTGATATTGAGTGTCATATGGTTAGTTTAACACCCATCCTAATCGCCTTTAGTAGTAGTAATGTTCTGTATTTTATGAAGCTTGCCGACTAGCTGAGCCGCTGCTTCTTCTTCTTCTCGTTCTTCTTCGTCTTTTGCATCTTCTTCTTCTTCCTATTCATCTCTATTTTTCTTCTTTCTCTCCTTGTTCTTCTCAATCTTCCTCCTCTTCTTTCTCTCCTCCTCCTTCTTTTCCTTCTCTTTCTTCGTCTTGTATAAGGCCAGTGAAGGCCTACCGCGATGAAGAAGTATGACTTTTGTTTTCTGTCTCTTTGTTGTTGTTTTTTGGGGGGAGTGGTCAATATGATGAAGCGACTGAAATTCGGAACATTTAGATTTAGACATGATGAATAAGATGTTATCTAAGTACCAATTATGCAATACCGATCTTTAAACAGCCTTGCTCCTAGAGACTATGCAATTGAATTGAAACGTTCATTGACACATCGGTCTTTTAAATCCATCTTCATGGTATTTTGCAGTTCTAATCATGTTAATGCATTGTTGTTACTATGTGTACTAAAATATATTAGATATTCTAAACGATCCCCCCAGTAATCGAAGGCACTCGCAAACTTCAAGCGCGTATATACAAACTCATTTTCACCTCATGGCATTAGAATAGGTTTCAGGCCTATTGTTATGTTACTTTTATTTGTACATATTAACCTGTTAGATTGTATATACATGTATTGCTCTTCCGCTTTCTATTGCCTTCCACTTTTTTTTGTTATATTCTAGAAGGAGTATTCAATGTGTTATCATCAATTTCATTATAAACTGCTCAATTTATAGAAACTTATATCCTATTTAATTTTGACGATTTATGCAGTCATGAAATATTGTACTCATGAACATACTTGAATTTACTTTATAATTAATGATAATGTTATTGTTGCACATTGTTATTCAGTATCAGAATTGACAGTTTCTTTGACTCTATTTACATTATTTCTACCATTGTTATCTTTCTCGTTGTATCTTTACTTCTATTCAAAATTCAACCTCAAGTTTTGGTTGCAATAAGGGAAAGATTATAAAAGTAATTTACAATTTTACTGTTCTGTGTTTTCGACTCTGCATTTAACGTGTTTCTTTGAGTCGGGACCATGATGTAAAGAAGATTCTCCTGATCTTGTTAACATCATAATGAAAATGTATTCCTATCGAGATTTTCACCTTCATGAAAAAGGGTAGCCGCATCAAAATCGTGAAAAACATTTTCTTTTATCAATAAACTTATTTGTTTTGCGAACTTAAAGAGATTCCTTATCAACTACTTCTTCCCGGTAAACGCTATATACTCATTTATATGTGTATTATGATTATCTAATTCAATGTTTGTTTTGTCTTCTTGGTGATAAGATTTGTTTGCATCGCTCCTTAAAAAATATCCGATATCTTCATAGCTGTCAGTTCACTATGTATTATAATGTATCACTTTTTTGGTAGAGTTGTAATCATTACAGTACAGTTTACAAAAACGTGGATTTAGAGAAAGATGAGAAAAAGTATGTCATTTTTATTAGCGTAGTCATTTTCGCTCATAAAGTGTATAGTATAAACATTTATTTTTTTCGGTCGAGTTGTAATTCATTCATTACGGTTCGTAAATTTAGAGAAAGATGAAGAAAACAAACATTTCATTATGGGTAAGAGTAGATAATTTTACTTTTAAAGTGTGGTATTCAGTAGAATCCCCAGAACCTCTATATTTAATTGAAATCCATTATGTATGAATATCACGAACGCAACTACTGTGGAATAATCAACAAATGGTAATTTCAATGGCATTGTACGTCACCTTTTGATATTTGCGAATGTTGCAATGAATGCCAACGACACAATACGTAACCTGAACATTACGATCGCATTGAGTAAATATGACAGGAAAGATGATATGAAATAAAGAGTGAAGTGATAAGTTTAAGTCATGCAGCAAGTAGGAATTTTTTGTATTATTACATGTGGTATCATGAACAGTTTGTTTATACCCATCTGAAAACTGAAAACATAATGGATTAAACAACTTCATTTGGGTACATGGTCATTTATCTGAATACTGAAAAAGAGCATTTTCGACTTTCATATTGTATCTCTACACCAGACAATTTTGGATTGTCATGACTTTGTCAATTATTTCACAGTGTATTTCATGTAAAATATAATTTGTTGTATTTTGATTTCATCTCAGAGTTGCATTGGGGCTCAGTAACAAACTAAGTGTCCTGTATTATCATTTTGCCTCGGTATAATTTATTGTGCTTATGAAAATGTGAATGTTTCCTTCTTTTGTTTCTCTTTTAGTGAGGGTGGGGACGGTCGTCGCTTATTACCTAAGATTTACCGCATCAAAACTCCTATTAGAAATCGTTATAATTATGGATAATTCAGCAGTCTCTGAACCGATTTTAATCAAACAAAGAGGATTTTGTATGTTCTTTCAAAGTTGCCACTCAGTGTTTCATTTATCTCACACAAAACTTATTTTGTGTAGCGCCCTCTGCAACAAAACTCAAATATCCCTGTTTGTAGTGGCAAACCCATATATCAGATCAATTTAAAAGTAACACCTTCTCATAACCTGGTATATCAAAATTGAAGATTAGAATACCATTAAAACATCACGGCATATGACGCTACAGTGTAAAAAGATAATTGTGTTTTTGGAAAATAGGAACAATTAGTACTTGAATAGGATATAGGCAAGTTAGATAATTACTTGGGTTAAATTCGAACCCTAGATCCTAGGTTCGATAGGCATATCCACCCATTTGTACTATGCATCATGGAATGAGGTCTATATGATCTTGTTATGACTGCATTATGATCTCATATCTTATTTGCCTGATGAGTGACGGTTCGCAAATATGTGTTTGTTTTTTATGACAAACAAATAAAACATTATCAGTATATTTTATTTCAATTTCCTTTTGATCTCGGTGGGCGTTTTATCAAATTTCTTTTTCTTTTTAAGGTTCTGTTTGCTCTAGACCACCCTGGGTATGTCATCCCTACGGTGACAAAAAATTGACATTCATAGACATGTTAATAGTGAACGAGAATAGTAATCATAAGAAATCCCTCAGATATGTTTGGATCTGAGAGAAAATGAGGGAAGAGAGACGAAGTATATATCCCATTACAGGTCATTCTTCATATTTTTTTGGGGAGAGGAGGCAATCTATAGAAAAGTTCCTTTGTATTTTTCGTCAATTTGTCAAAAAAGTACTCTGAAGGTCTAGATTGATGCATTTTGATTACCAATTGTTCACTCCTCCAATAAAATTCATTTGGTGGGTGTTGCAGGTCTTATTGGTTAGCTTTCAAATTAATAGGGGTTAAATGTAGTTGATCTATGTTTGACCAATTCTCCTTATCTTTTTTTTACCACAATCCATACATTCTTCAGCTCACTAAATAAGTCCTTTGTTGCGCACAGTTGCCATTTATCTACAAATTAAAAGAAACTGCTGTAGCGTCTTGCTTTTTTGCAGCGGTTTACCGCACAGGCTTTAAAGGTGGCGCAATTTGCTTTCTACAAAGTTAACTGTATTGAGCTTGTAAGGTTGTAATGTGTAATGTCATAGCCAAAGGAAGCTTACTACTCATCCTTGTACATCATTACCATTCCATTTTAAGGGGCCAAACTTAGACGTCTTTTAAAAAATGATCATAACTTTGTAATTTTTGCTCAAATCCTTATGAACTTCACATGGTAATGAAAAGGTACTACTGCACATTTTCTGAAGAAACTTCAATGAGGGCGGTTTCGTCAGGTTATCTCTAAACATTCGAAACATCGGGCGGGAAGAGGGAGGGCTGAATCGTCTTGCCTGATTTTCCATGCTGGTTTACATTCGGGCGAGCCCCCCTCTCCTCCAAAATAACAGAAGACAAAATAATAATAATAATAATGATGCAATAAAATTACAAATATAAAATGTATGGAAATTAAACAAATAAACAAAATACATAAATAGAATAGTTAATAAGTAAAAAAGAAAAGAAAGTAATACATGTATACAATCTAAATCAAAGTAAATAGATTAGAAAATGAATAAAGAATTATGAGAAAATAAATAAATGAACAAACCACTTTCCTTTTGATAAAGACGCTCATTTGTAATGTCACATGTGCAGAGGCAATAGATAAGATATTAAAAATCATCATTTCGGGCGCTCTGCCAAATAAAAAATAACCTCCTGGGACAATGTTGGGGGCTGCACCCCCCCCCCCCCCCCTTCTCCCTTTAAAAAAAAAATTCCAACACAATATATATTTATTCACAGAAATGTTCAGTTTAGTCATTCAAAAATGGCTAAGAGTAAGAATGTAACTTAGAGCAATGTAAGGTTCCGAATTTTCTGGGGCTCTGGACCCACGCCGTATAGGGTTTGCGCCTCGCGCACGGAATTTTGTACATTTCACGCCCCCCCCCCCCCCCCCCCCCCCCCCCCCCCTCTTGGGGAAATCTTGGATCCGCCCCTGTAAAGCACCAGTACTGGCGATTTACACGAAAACTATGCCCTACACGTACGGGTATACTATAAGATATCGTGGGGGATTCCCCAATGTAAACCCCCGCCGGCTACACGTTACACGAACAGAGAAACAAATTGTCTACGTTGGCATATACAGCACACGCACCGTGTGTTGGTTTCTCATAAGTACATGTATACTCTCATTCGCCCATCAGAACAAATTCACTATCAGTGGGATATACAATGTCACACATCCTTCTTTTCTACCTCTGCATACATTTTGGAGAATAGGACCAGTCATTACAAAGTAAGTTGAGAAATAACATGATTTGCTGTGTGTTTGATCATTTATGTGACGGATGTATTTTCCCGTGAATATGTTTTGGCATAAATGGTGAATTCTTTGTTATTTAAAATGGCGCCCGAATCGCGTGGTATCGTGGTATCGTGTATATCGCGCTCTGCGGAAGCATTCTGACTTTGATTAAATTGATGATTGTTAATTGTGCAGAGAGAAGAGGGAGCCCCTAAATGTAAATGAAGTAAAAGATAAATTTCTCGAAAAAAGGAAAGAGGAAAAAACATGCAATGGAAAGGGATAATCTTTCAATTCAATTAAAAAAATTGGGGGCCTTGGAAGGTGTTGTGTGATAATAATCATTTTGAAAGAAGCAACTTCCCAGCCCTCTACCCAGCAGTCCTTCTTTGCATTGTGTTTGTGTTTGTTGGTTGGTGTTTTTTCGGTGTTTTGTTTTTTTTGTTATTTGTTATGATCTTTATCTCTCTCTTTGGGGATTTTTTCTCTTTTCAGAGGACGGTAGCAATGTATTTTTTAAAATCATTATCATAATTTTGTATTTGACAGACTATTATATTTCATGTACAAGCATCTATTTATTTTATTTATAGAGTAAGCAATCTCTTGACTCCAGCGACGGAGTTTGTGGGTGGGGGTGGGACCGACTTCAATAGTAGGTGGACGGACCCCAATATAATACCTTCATTGAATAGGGGAGGGGTGACAGGAGGGTACATCGTCTTCATTTAAATCGCCATCTTCTTTTCCTGCCATTCAGTGACAGGGATGGGAGGGAGAGGGAAGAGCCATCGTGTTTATTTTGGCGTAACTGAGTGTAGTAGGAATCAAGAATGTTTTTACAAAAACAAAAGGGCGGTTAAATATTTATTTAAAGCAATATGTCATGATCACCATTAATCTGTTCAAATTGTTCTCATCTGACGGAATTTAAGTTAAGATTTTACAAATGCACGCTTGTTGTTGATCTCAGTTATTTTGGTGATAAAAACAAATTTCGTAAAGCTGCGACATACATATGTATATTGAACTGTATTATCAAAACTTGAACTTTGATTTTTATTATCCTTTGTTAACTACGGAAAATTGAGAATGACCCTCCACATTTGGATTTCAGGCAAATGGCACATGGACTACCGCCACTAGTGCAGGTAACTTCCCTTAGTATTGAAAGATATTTCTTGATATCAAAATAACATATATAGTAGAGGTGACTGTTGTGTTATGTAAATGGATTTTTCTCTTCCCATTGTGGAAAAATACTGTCCTGAATAAATATTATCGAGAGCAGCAAATGCAAATGGGAGGGGAGGTACTAAGCACATTTCAGCCATTTATGTATATTAAATGTCATATTTCTGTAACTGTACAATTCATCTTTTTCAAGACTAACATAGATCATTGTATTCATTCTAAATTCAGAATTGACCAAAGGAGAGGCTACTTCATTTTTTGGGGGATGTAGAATGTCTTAAAGATGCCCTACTGAAATAGTTACTAGATCATACACGTTATCATTCCAAAAAAAGAGGAATGAGGATAACAAAAGCTTTGAAGAGTGGGAGATTTTCTTTCTTTCTTTCAGTCTGTGTGTCTGTGTGTCTTTCTCCTTCTCTATTTTATGTTTCACCTTTATATAATCAAATGGGGGGTGAAGCCCCTCCCTCCCCCCCCCCCCCCTCCACCTCCTCTCTACATACGAAAGTAATTTGTAAATATGTATTTACAGTACTTCGATTAAATATGAATTCAAATGCATTTCAAATTTATTAAAATGAAGCCTACCATTTTGGAATATTTTCAATACATTTTAGTAAGTCTAATATACCATACGAGGAAATGAATTAAATCAGCAAACCCACCTACTACATGTAAAGCTATCCTCCCATACATTAACATTTCATTGTCACGGTTCATTCTGGATGCGAATGTTTTAGCATAGTCTAACCTATTCATGTAGTACAAATGACCCCGGGGAATACCAGATATATTCTTGTTTCAAGGACTTTTTTATTCTAAGAAATCGTTTGCTCACTTCCTTCCGTTGTTTGTATTCTTAGGGGTAGCGCGGTATGTTGTCTTCGATTATTGCATTACATATGTTTATAACGAAAATATGTTGTGGTACGGCAGACAATAAATATTAACCCTTTTAATACGAACAATTGAAATAACAATGGCTCTAGAATGAAATTGTGTGTTTTTAATTTAAAGACCTTGCTATTTGTTTTTCTTCTACTTCCGTTATATGAATATCTTCTCTCAGTATAATCATAGGTCAAAATTGCTGGCCAGAATGAAAAATTAGAAATATTATTCACCATAAGTTCCGGCATAATTTTGGGAGGTTTCAATGTTACCGGTGATGAAACCGGTTGTGGAATATATATTGAATAGTCATTGATTGGAGACTAAGTTTGGGAATCCCAAAGTTGTGGCCTATTTTCTGTTGACGTATACCAAGCAACGCAGTTAACGTATGGCTTTGTGCAAACAGACAGACTTATATGCGAAAACGATGTAAAGAAAAAAAATCGATCTTAAACGTATAACAAAAACCTCTTTGCTTCAAGTAAAGATGACTATTGCGATATGTAAAAATTGTCCTGAAATCATCATTATCGAAGTCTGCACATGTAAATTAGAGGGGACATACTTAGCGCATTGTAGCCATTTATGTCTATTTATAAAGACAAATTTATCTTACAATACAATTCATCTTCATCTAGACTAATTTAATACAGAGATCATTTTATCCATTCTAAATGTTAGAATAAACCAAGGGAGAGGTTAGGTTAATTTTCCAATGATAAAGATTGCCCTTTAACAATTAACCATTCAAAAGAAAAGTAAAAGAGGTATACAAAAGCGTAAAAAGGAGGCGATTTTATTTCTTTCTTTCTTTCAATCTGTCTGCATGTCTGTCCCTTTCTTTATTGTATTTTATTTCCTAAATTTCCGTTTTTAGGGGGAGGGGCTGGAATCCCTTTTAATACCATGCATGCTCGGAATCCGATGGTCGATTCACCGTTCATGTTTTAGTTTAAAGTACATAAATAACCACGGCGAATACCAGAGTTAATCTAGTATCAAGCAATTCATATCCTTATTCTTGTTGGTTGTATAGAAGAATATATATTGATAAAGGCCTATATATATATATATATATATATATATATATATATATGTATATATTTATATTCGAATTTAAATTGAAAATTCAATTTGAATCTATACAAATGGAATCTAAAAAATGTTGATATATCTCCAGTACATAACATTTACATTTTCTTATATACGATTTGAGGAAATGAATTAAATCACCAAACATACCTAGTCAACCCTATACATGTAGTACAGAAATAACCGCGGGGAGCGTTATTTTTTTATGCGGCACAGATTGGGGCTTTTTTTAAAAAGGGGTCTTGATTTACAGACTAATACTGGTCGTGTGCGAACTAGACAACTATGAGGTCTGTTTTTAATAGTGTTACATGTAATCCACTGCCGCGTGGAAAATCATTACATCAACAATCAAAATCAAATTGGAAATCTGAAGAGGAGGCAGCACGTCAATAAGGAGAACATCACAATAATTAGTCAATAAAACTTAACTAACTTAAACGAAGAGGAATGTTATCTAAACACATAGTTCGCGATGGATATACAAACTTCTTTGCAGCGCTATTAAATGCGCTAGCTAACATGACTAGTCCCACGTACGTGCAGACACTATTCAGAAGGGAAAGAACGTACTTCCCATAGGTTTAACACGCGCCATGCCCCAATATGTGCCGCATAAAAAAATAACGCCCGCGGGGAATACCAGAACTACTCTTGTATCAAGGAACTTTTATTTTAAGAAATCATTTTCTTGATTATTATTTTTTTGTTTGGGGGGGGGGGAGGGAAACGTTATGGTGTATACGATTATTCTGTTACATATGGTTATTATACATGCATATATATTCCCTCACTATAAAATTGCTGGAAATGGTGGAACGTTTATTGAATAGTCATTGATCGGAGACTAACTTTTGGATTCCCATAGTGATGACCTGTTTTTTATTGACGAATTACCGACAATGCAGTGCACCGTGTGGCTTTGTGCAAACAGAAAGATATGTTTAAACTTTCCATCTAACTGTATTATTTAAACTGAATAACCGAAGCTTTAAATTTGTAAGAATTAAAATGAAATTGACTTTTCCAAAATCACTCTCTTTTAGCGTTTGAATAAGAGGCTGCTTTTACTTTTTTTCAAATTAGTCGTTCACCTAAACGCAACCTTCTAAAGGTATAAACTAAACGCTGTTGTGTTTTTCATGCACCTAGCATGAACAGGGTGTATCATTCGACCGTCTGTTCTTTTTTCTTCTGTATTCCTCTTTAAGTAATATAATGAAGGCCTTATTTATTATTTCGTTATCATATTGTGTTTATGTCCCATTTGCAGGCCGAAAAAATGAAAGGTTAAATTCCAAAGGCGTTTGAAAAACAATACTAATTTAGAATTTTCCTCAAAACGAAAGGATTTGTGTATAGCTTTTAGTAAGGAAAAAACGACCATTAGTTGTCGAATCGACTTAAGTTATTGCAATCAACTAAGTATTAAATAATCTGATTTCAGACCCTTTTACCGAATGGTTGTACGATTTGTGCTGCACAAAGATTCAATCAGTTTAATTTTGGTCACTACATGTAATGGGTTATTGATGTAGAGAAATACTCACGAACCTGTTACAGCTCATTTTATACATGTTATTACCAAAGCAAAAAGATGAAGGTAAACGGGTTTCCTTACATAATTTGAATTCCAGGACACTGCTAATGTTCAAATTTCACAGATAGGACATACATGACGTATCCATAATTCCTGCAAAGTTCTACAGAATTGGATTTTGGCTGCAAATTGGACATAGTGTTTTTAAAACCCCCCATCAGGATCGGTTATTGCGTCTGATAAGGAGAACTAATTGGTCGCAACGGACCTCAAAAATCTTACAATGTTTCCTCGCTCGCCTTGCTCACTCGCAAATGAATATTCTAACCATGACACACAACAGCAATGTTTGTGTTAATTGAGTATCTTAATTGGACCACATAAAGAGAAAATCTTGAATATCATCTCTGATAGTGTATTTAATATAATGGTGGGGTTTATACAATATCTAAAGATTGTAACCTTTCCTTTTTTCCGCAGAAAATGCCTACTTTTCTTGCTGCACCCCACTTTAAAATACACTCGACGGCCCGCTCGTTATCACCATCATCATAATTATTACCTGCACAATTATATTTGTCGAAACTAGTTGAATGAACGAAATAGAAAAGATTGGAAACATGTCACAAGCTCTTAAATAAAAGACTGAAATTATTTTCAATTCATTCACAGGTGCTGTGGATCATCTCTCGCAGTGATGTAAACAAGACTCAACATCAGCGATGTCGAAATGGCTGTAAGTATTTTATTATAGATCTCAAGGTTTTGCGTTAGACTCGGGGAAAATATAATATGGCATATAAAAATGAACAATCATGGCAGGAAAGAATGGTAACTACGGCTCGAGCCCAAAAGACCGATCGATCTGTTTGGGACGTACTTCTGCCAATTTGTTTAGGGTTCTCTGCACCAACGGCCCACAAGACTGCAAATGTTCAATTTTACTTTTTGTACTACTTTGGTTTGTCACTCATTAGAGGGACATTTTTCTTCACTGTATTATGTTGTTTTATTTTCTCTCTTTTCTATTGCGATAACGCCTTTTTTTTTCTTTTCCTGTCTAATCCGATCGTGTTCCATGTTTCTTTTTCCCTTTTCTCTCGTTTTTATTGTGCGCTGCTTTTCGAAACTCTCGTGACATTCAATCCTCTTCAAATTTACCAGGCTTTTTACTGTGCATGTTTTGATGTCTAGCATAATTGTGTGATATCTCGAAAATCTATATGAAACCTGCTACGTGCAATTTTTTTTTCTTTCAAATTCAGAAATCTTTGTGACACGTGTTCGACCCTTTCACCAAACGTCTAATCTATTTATTTAATTTTATTCGATTTATTTACCAACATAACCACATTTCATACGATGACAATAACATAAACAAGAAGGTGATCTTTTGGTTGGTGAAAGGGCTAGATAGATAGCACATGTGCAAACTATTTTTGTACAAGTTAAGTTCGGAAAAAAACTAAACTAAACAAACAAAATTTACAGCTTCGATAAATGCCTCAATCAAAATCCAACAAGGTCCCCTTTCACTATGACAAATGCCCATTTTCATTTGTTATAAGTGCATTTTGCCATTCAAAGAAGTGCCCATTTTCAGCTCTGACAAGTGCCCCTTTTGTTCAGCGATAAAAAGGGGCACTACTTTTAAGGGCAAAATGTACTTATTACCTCACAAATCTTTAAAACGTATTCACCCGACTGCAAATTATGATGCTTAACTAATATCATGGACCAGATATAAAGAAAAATAAATATTAGTACTTTCCCTTCACAATCGTAAAGTAAATGTATTTACCAATGTTCACAAATGATACATTTTCGCTTTGAGGTTACTTTTTATAGGTACCCTTTTTCCCCATAAATGTCCCTTTTTTGTGGTTTCCCCCCCCCCCCCCCCCCCCCACAACAAAAAAATAGGAGATGCTCCACCACCCCTGAATGTAGGGGTATGTGTAATGTCTGAAGATTGTAATTTTCGCTTTAAGGTTACCCTTTGTATTGCCATTTTTCATAAAGTCCCCTTTTTGTTGTTGATGCACCCCCTCTTTGAGAGATGTTCCCCCATTCCTGCCCCACTATTTTTCTTAGAGTGTTACTCTACAATATAAAAATGAATATCTACCAATTAAAGATAAACTTGAGTTCTGGTAAAAAAAATAAAAAAATGAATTCTCACAGAATCAAACGAAACTTACACTGAATGTTCAAGATTACAAATAAATGTCATTTGCCAAACAATTTTGGTAGAAAATGTATACTGGCTGAGTAATGAGCATAGAAAGATAAGGAAATCAAGGTTAGTAGCCCCGACACCATTTGTTTAGTCCCATATGCATCTTTCTGTGTACAGTGCTTGTTACTTTACCAAGACTGGGTCAAATTTATTATGATTTCGATGACTCCGGAACGTTGCAGTACACACCAATACTCATATGCTAGATGATCAACTTTTTCTGATCCATTCCACACCTTTCTTTCACAAACCAATCGTATGACTAGAACTCAAATTTATCTTTAACGACATGTGATAAAAAATGTTAATTATCAATTTTGTTCTTTATGGCTTTTTTTTCAGTGGCTCTAGTTCACAAGATGAGACGAACAAAACAGAGCTATCTAACAGAAATGCTCTGAGCTCCAAGTTATCCGACTTTGGAGTACCAAACTCCTCTATAAATAGGTTCCTGGAAACATGTGACGCTTCACACCTCTTTAGTTATTTTCAAGAGCCAGAGAGTAAACGTCTGTTAATGGAATTGCTTTCTTTGGCATCAACTCCTCCATCAACGGAGCTAGGTAAGATATCGCTTAATTCAGAAATAAGTTAGAAATAATAACAACGACAATAACAACAAATTTAATAAATAATAATGATAATGATTATAATAATAATAAAAATATTAATCATAATAATAATGATAATGAAACGACTACTACTACTGCAAGCACCTCTACCACTATTACTACTACTACTACTACTACTACTACTAATTTATATAATAATCACTACCCAGGGAATCCTCATCCACATCAACGTTACTCTTTTCGAGGGCCCTGTAATTATTACTACCCAAATGTATTTGTTATAATATGTATCTTTCTCGCGCTAATTTCAAACATACAGGGGAACATGAATTAAATTAATTATATACTGAGCATTGATCTTGATTTTGTTATTTTTGTTCTCGTATTCTCCAAAACAAAAATAAAAAAACTTCAGGTGATCAGGAACAAGTAGCTATACCAAGCCGTGCGCAGTCTGTTCATGAGACCAATCGAAAATCAAACAAGTAAGTTTTTTTGTTGTGGTTACTTTACTTTTCTTTATGAATGCTTCCCAGCTGTGCGGAATAGCATTGCAATTCAGTCGGGAGGAAAGATTTGATTCTTGCATTTTTCCCAATACAATAACTGAATAGCAAAGTACATGTAAACGTAAGGTATAATGCAAATAATCAAGCACTAATAAATTGATTTTAAAATGAGATTGACATATAGATCTATATAATAACAAATTTCATATTCATTTAATATATCATTACGAACGACGATTAACTAGAACAGAACCTCAAAAGAGGTGGAAATCTTAAGGTGACAGTTAAATGAAAAATGTGTTCGTACGATCTTTGTGTTTTGTGTATGGGTTTGTGAGTGTATTGTGGGTGTTTATGTGGGTGTGTGTAGCAAATGGTGGAAGTGCCCGTAGCTCTGTGTTGTATAGTGAAGAAGAAACTTTTTTTTTTGCTAAAGGAAACAAAGAATACGAAGAGCGATAATGAATTGCAGTATGACCAAAATTAGAGATATCAATAATTACATCTGGCATATTGAAATCAATATGTAGATATTTCCATAGGAGTTTTTTTAAAGAGATGCTTTAAAAGAAAAATGGTGATAAACATTGCCTCAATGAATTTGGTAAAAAAGTTCCAAACATCTCGCCAATAATGTCTCACTGACTTTTGGGCTACAATTGTTTTTAAAGATTTTCTAAGTGATAATCTTTTGAACGACGAGTGGCATATGTGTGGATGTTTGAGTTTGTATATTACAATTACCCTATACAATATTACAATATTACCATGGTTGATGCGACCAACCCCTCAATCTATCAAACAGATTATATCAACTGGTCCTCAGCCCGCAAATCGATCACCCTAAAGCCAAAATACTGAGCACCCAGTCGAAAAATTGCCCCAAATTCATCATGGCCATAGTCAGGCCCCACGTATTCCTCATGATACAACGCAGTCTTCTCTCTCCCCCCCCCCCTCCATCATCTCACTTTCTCCCCCCCCCTCTCTCTCTCTCTCTCTCTGACTCTAATTAAAGCTTGAGTAGGATACTAATGTAGTATAATTGTGAACGCTATTATTGCTATAGATATGAATGGAATGGTCAATTCTACAATAAATAGTCTAATCTGCAATAAATGGTCCAATCTGTGACAGATTGTTGAACAGGAGCAGTTGGAGTGTTATTTTAATGTGTCCATGCTCTCCATTTGGTTGATAAGATGTGCCTGCCCATTAAAGGTAATTTTTGAAGCGGGGTTAGCTTTATTTTTTTTTTAAATTACTCTGCAACGATTTCAAAGACTTCTACGAAGTCAACTCAAGGGCAATTTCAGTACTCTATTGTATATACCACAGATATCACGATCTGATTACGCAAAATGTCAAGGTGTGATACTAATACAAGACCTTTGGCATTATAGGTTCCGATTTCGAAATTAGTGGCGATTGTATTCCCTACTCTTGTCTCTCTCTTCTTATTGTAATAGCCTAATCATGGAATGCAGTGAACAGCTAAGGCTCCATTACATGGATTGCAGCAACATCTTGAAAGTAGCTCTCCGTCCTTCAACAAAAGACAAGATTCATAATGTGGAAGACCTGCATGTCCCAGTGGCTCTTAAGAAGAGCGAGATATCCCCAGATCTCCCACAGATGGCGGAAATACAGGCGATCGATTTCTTCAAGGAGCCCAACTTTAAAAAGAAGAGAATTCTCATGTTTGGTCCACATGGTGTCGGGAAGACGACAGAAATCAAGATGTGGCTCTATAACTGGTGTCGCAAAATAAGTGGTCCTCTGATGGCTTTTCCTCTTGTTTTCTATATCGACGGAGCAAAGTTGGGGCAAGGGACCAATCTAGGAGAAGCAGTCACTAATCAATGTTTGCCAGGCGAATCCGCTTTCAAACCTGAGGATATTGAGAGTATGTGCCAAGACTGCAAAGATGAGATACTTGTAATTCTTGACAACTATCCTAAATGGAAACCGACGGATCGACTTAAAAGCTCCCTTGAAGCCATGGTTCTAATGCGCAAATTTCCGCATCTTACTCTTTTGGTTGCCACCACATCAGGCGGGCTTGGTCATTTTCGTGAAGTTTACGGAATCTACGACCATGTACAGGTAGAAGGAATAAGTGAAAGGTCAGTCAGCACCTACATTTCCAATGTGTTCAAGAACAGAAGGGAATTTGGATCAAAGGTTGAGGAGTACCTTCGTAACACCGAACAAGTTCACAACATGGCCGCGTCTCCAGTGCTCCTTAGCATCATGTGCCAAATTGTGAAATTCTGCGCTAACCCGACATTGCTTGGTGACCTGAAAACTGTTTCAGCACTTATGGACAGGTTTATCGATTGCATCATTATGAGACACGCAGAAGACGGTGATTCCAACATCACGATGGAAAAATCGGGAGCTGACGGTCCAGATACCGGCGCAGATGAGACTTCGGCCATGTCGGCACTATCATTAAGATCTAGAGTACAGACAAGATCTGCAAGGCCAACCACGCTGAGAAGCCAATCAGGTTGTCAGGAAACATCACTCTCCAAAAACGAAACCATAAAGCAGCTGTCGGCCGTGGCATTCAGTTGCTATCTGAAGGGAGATGATGAAGAAGAACGACACTTGAGTGAAGGCGACTTTCATGACGTGTGTGGAGAGTTGAAAACCGAAGTGATCGAGGAAGGGTGTCGTCTAGGACTCCTGGTGAAATCCTCCATCGATGAATTCATTCCTTCATCTCAAAAGGCAGTGGAAGGGAAGGTCATCGGGTTTCTCAGTCCATTATTTCAACAGAGGCTCGGTGCTAAACACTTCGCGAAACTCCTCCAGGGAAACCATGAAGAAAAGCAGATGTTTCGTAATAGCCTTACGAGGATAGGTTCTATTGAGAATGCGCTTTCACTCCGAAGTCTTTTGTCATTTGCTTGTGGAGAGTCCATGAAGACGGCCAGATCCATCATAGGACATGTAGTTGACCTAACTTTAGCCTATGCGGGAGATATGTATCCCGATCCAAGACCAGACGAAGAAGTCCTTGGGCAAGCCCATGTACAGTACCATGACATGATTAAGTTCATACTTGACCTGAACTATGAAGCAAGAAGTGATGGTCGTCTTAATGACATTCTTTGTCCATTAGTCACCCAGCTCCGTATCCTGTCGCCATCGGTTATCATGACCAGATCTCTTGCCTATCTCCTGGAACACGTTGCTACTCCGAATACACCCAAACTTGACGAGGTTGACATAGAAGTTTTTGACGTTCCACCCGAGATACAGGACAACCTCCCACATCACAAGAGTATCATCTACAAGTATGAGGAAGATGCTCCTGTTTCGATTGAGAGGGGTGCCTTCGGAGATGCATCCGCTGGTGGTGCTGCTAGTCTGTCCCCATCATCTTTGATGTCAACCACCAAGAGGAGGCTGAGCATCAAAGTCAACCAGGAGAGAACGAAAGGAAGTAAGTAATTCTTATTTAACATAACAATTTAACCTCTGTTTAATTACAACATTAACTCACTTTCTGCTATTTGATTCTTCCTAATCGACCTTGATAAGGTACATTGATAGGAACGCATGACGATCAGTATTGTCATTTCATTCAGATTGCTCTGAATTACAAATTGTACATTAGCGGAAAGTGCACAAATTTGTTCAAATGTGTGTACATTTCTGCTGCGGTAAATTGTTCCGCTCATGAATATTAAAGAACGATGTAATAACACAAAATCCTTATTGATGTCTGTCAATCGGTTACGCAGATGAAAATGTATAATCACTAAATTCGTTCGTCTACAAATTAGTAATTTCTGGTCGATACTATTATCATTCTTTTCTTTCACACTGTTTCATTCAATAAACTTTGTTGTTCTCTTAAACTATTAAAGAGTGGAAAGGGGGAGGAAATCAATTTTAAGGAGGAAGAGCTGATGCAGTTAGACCCTTAGAAAATTCTGAAACTACTATGGGGTTACATTTCATATGAACCTCATTATTACTATTTAAATTAACAGTTTGACTCTCCTCCCAATATTGAATCATGATGATGTCGTTAAGTCATTGACACTGGTATCTCTGAAGAATTTTTTGTGTGTTTTTTTGTTTTTGTTTTCCGTGAAAATTAACATTCCTGGAACTCACAATACTCTTTAAATACCAAACATTGTTTTTTAACAACGACCATAAAAATAACAACAACGAAAAGAAGGGGGAAAGGCCTGTAATTCTTAAATATACAGATAACAATAGAAAATTGACTAAGTGTACGTAAACAATCAATCAAGAAGTTCAATTTCTTATTTGTTTCTTATCCAGACAAACGTTGTACTTTGGCACCAACGTTCCCACCACCATCAATACAAGTTGTTGAAGAAGACAGAGCATTTCCTTTTCGCGGCAGCGTCACCTCGTCTCCGGCACAACCTGGCAGACACCACAGGGCACAAACATCTAATGTGTGTCGACCTGTCCCTAAAAGAGGTTAAGATCAACTTATCATAATGATTTTACATGATCAGTAGCAGAAAAGATCGAGAAATGTGTTAATAGTTTATTATAAAAAAAAAAATATATATATATATATTTTAGATGAAAATGTCTCGAGTGGGGATGAGTGGGCAGTAATATATTAAATGTTTCATTATTTTGACACAGTAATTTGTCATGGTATAAATAAACACAATAACAAAAAGTAGGTCCCACCTGAGCAACGCCTAATAATGTCTTAACTGCAAAGTTTTGAGCCAATATATTTACCCAGGAGGGACATTGCCTGTGGTTGCCTTTGGTTCTTATGTATTTTATGTATGAACGTCAGTCAGAGATATATTTGAATGAGTCTGCTTTAAAGAAAATCTAGCCACATTTCAAAATTAACAAGATTGGAATTTCTCTAGTGTACAGGGTGAGAGAAAGACATATTCATAACATCTCGGCAATATGTGTGTTCATGAGTTTTTTTAATGGGGGAAAGGGAAGCTTACTTTTATGTTGTGTTTGCATAACATGCAGTTTCCAGAATGAATCTGGGACTCCAACTGCCATTAGCATAAAATGCTTGTGACACTTTTAGGCTACATCTCAAATGTTTGTCATTGTTGAGGCTTGGACATTTTAACATGTAACCACAATTGATAATACTACCACCGCCCTCCTGTTGTCTACCAAATTGTAATAAGTGTGTCATCAACCCTTACATTCTCCAGAAATTGCAGAAATCGTCGATCTTTCACAATACTCAATAGACAAGTCAAAATGCATTTCATTTGGAGGATATGGAGAAGTTTACGAGGGCAAATGGAAAGGCAAGAGAGTGGCCGTGAAACGTGTGGAGAAGGTTGAAGAATCCGATACTTCGTCGCTTGAAAGGGAGATTAAAATAAATGCGTAAGTGAACTAGCAATAATATATACAGTTAAAAACTAAATTCTTTTTAAATGTCTTGTAAATTTGATGTGTTTGTGTATTCGTAACTCAAGATTGCAAGGTGGACTGGTTAAATTGGGGATTCTTTTGAAAACTTTTAGATAAAACCTTTTTATGTCACATTCTCAAGAAACATAAATCGGCCCAAGTCAATTTTTGTCAACACTAGGTAAGGGTATGATTAATTTAGTTCTTAAATATATATATATATCTAATTATAAAGACACATAAAATATATAAATGTACTGAGTTTTGCTCGGAGTTTTAGAGAAAAAAAAGGAAAAAAAATGATATTCCATACGAGAAAAATGTTCGCCCTTACGGCTTTGTCATTTGACATTTCTTTTTACTTTGAAAATTGTTGTGCTTCAAAATATACACATCACATCCCCATAAAATGTGCCAGGGCGGAAAGAAGGAGGACACGAATAATGATATATGTATATATATATAAACATATAAGTCAGATCTATTCTATGCGTTTCCATAATTATACTTCTTATGTTTATGGTTTATAATATGATTTATAATATAACTAAAAGAAAACCCCATCAATGAAAAGGAAAAAATAAAAAATAAAACCGTTATTAGCACTTCATTATGCATTGCAATCATGGTTAATCTTCTTCATATAGGTACAATTGATTTTTAGGGCTTGCATCCTCTTTCCTTGGATACTATTTTTTTTTTCGTCTATTTCAAACGATTTCCTTTCCAACTTGTGTAAATGTTTAACAGGTGGGTGAAACACCCCAACATCGTAGTGCTCCACGCGTTCTCAAAATTTCAACCAGGGATGACGAGTCATCTTTGCTTCGACCTCATCATGGATTTGATTGATGGTTTTACTCTGAACGACGCTGTGTTCGTAACAAAATTGGAGAACCTGGTAAGGAAACCAACAAATCTGTAATACTCACATAAAAGCTTCTCTTCTTTTTTTTCTAAAAACCTGTCTTTTTTCTTTCTTTTTTTTTTCCTTCTTTTTCTCCTCCTCCGTCTTCTTCTTTACTTTACATATTTATGATATTAATAAATTGAAAATTGCGTCATTGATGCAACGATTTTTCTCAAACTCACTACCTCAAAACCTTATGCACCTATTTAGTCTTAACAATGTGGTCCATACCCACTACACAAGAAATGCTGATAAATTCCATCATTGGAATGCTTCGTCCAATATACTAACCGATTCTCTCCGTCATGTTGGTCCAAAAATGTGGAATTCCCTACCTCCATTTTTACAATCTGTCGGATTTAATAATTATTTCAAAAGATTTTACAAGAAACATCTGCTCTCTCTTTATAACGCATAATTTATTTTAAGACCACACATATATTTCTAATACTCCTCCTTTTTATTTTTCCTTTTTTTCCCCTTTTTTTTTCTTCAAGTATATGTTATTATTACTTCTGCGCCTGGTGCTTTTAATTGTCAAGCCTTACTGGCTTTTACGGATGCACCATTTCCATTTATATTTTGAATGCTGTTATGTCAATTTATATGTAATTTTAATCATTACATGTTATGACATTCCATATTTTATCTTTGTATATATTGTCATGATGATGGAAATAAATTTCAATTTAATTCAATTCAATTCAATTCAATTCTTATTCTTCCTTCATCTACTTGTTCTTGTTCTTCCCCTTCTTCTTCCTATTCTTCTTCTCTCTTTTCTTCTCCTTCCCCTTCTCCTTCTCAATTCTTATGGATGTTCTTCTCCATCTTCCTTCTCTTCTCCTTTCCTTTCATCATCTTCTTCTACTTCTCCTTCATTCTTTTCCTCTTCTTCTCCTCCTCCTTCCTCTCCTTGAATGCAAACTACAGATAGACCGCTGTGATGAAAGTAAAACAAAATAAAAAAAACATCTTTATATATGTTCATTGCAGCAAACTGATCGCGGGAAACTGACTACTGCTATGAAGGTGTCAGATGCAATCGCCCACATTCACTCCATAGGATTAACTCATTCGGACATTAAACCTGACAATATTCTGGTATGTCCATTTCCTAAATAAATTTATATTTCGTTGAAAATTTAAACGCATATACTGTTGACCTTGTTGATGAGGTTCTTAGATTTGATGACCACAAAAATGGCCAAACCAACATATAACAACATCTCTGTGAAATCTTCTTCTTTTCTTCTTTTTTCATAAATACTTTGCTCTCGATGCCAACTGTGGATCTGTAGTTTTTAGTGAACGCTTAAACGGCATTTCTACCCTTTTGATAACTTCATTTATTTGAAAGTAGAAAAAAAAAAAGAATGGCGAAAGTTGGAAATAAATCGGACTTATAATAAGAAAGTTACGAATGTTTGATCATCAAAAATATCATTAGTTTCTGGGTTTTTTTAATCTTAAGTGCCTACTTCATTTGGGCACTTCTTAAAATATATTGTTTCAAAAATATCATTAAAGGTTCTCTTTAAAACAAAATCCATCCTAACCAGTATTTAAAAAAATAAAAAATAATATAGTCACTTTATATTTTGGAATAAATGAAAAAGTTTTCCGCCACTATATCACAGAGACATTTCCCATTCAGCAATTACAAAGAGGCCATACTTATAGTGATTTCAACTTTCATAAAATCCTTACTCTCTCATATGTCGTATTTCATTCAAACTTTCATTAGTCTACTTCACCGAATATCTGATTACCACTAGAGTAATTTACTATCAAGGTATGACTTGTGACGAACATACGAGCATACTTTTTTCAATGCTTTGCTCAGCACAATAATTACGGCTCAGATACTACCCATAAAGAAATGTGTCAACCCAAAACACCATAAACACTCTTACATATGTACGTTCAAAAGCATGCCAACGTAACAAAATAATGATCATCCTCCGTTATCAACGTACTTCACAACGGGGGAGGGGTATGGGATGTTTATTATCTTTTAAATATGCTCGTCTAATATTTTTTTAGCGATGAAGTCTTTTCATTTGATTTGTCTTAATCAAAATACAATCGTGTCTGAATGTTTGGCGTTAGAAATCGAGAAAGAAACAATTATGCAGCAAACAGAACCTGATCATATTTGTTAAACATGCTTGTCCTCTACTATTTATTTTTGTACAATTTAACACTGAAGATCAGAATATCGGACAACGAACCATTCGTCTGTGACCTAGGATTGGGCCATGCAGTCACTCTTTCGAAGAATACATCATCGGGAAAGCGGAATCCAATACTTAAGTGGGCCCCTCCCGAGTCATTCAAGAGACACGACGTGGTGACATATGAAAGAGACGTATGGTCCCTGGCGTGTGTTCTTCTGGAAATGTTCACTGGGCATCGTCTTTGGGAAGACATCGCAAGCCATGGGATGGGTGACGAGCATGATGAAGAGCTCTCAATTTACGAAATCCTACACCGGTTTACTGGTGACAATGTCACACCTGACATCATCTCCCGCGTTGACAACACAGCCGTACGTGGTGCTCTCCAAAGTTGCTTCACGAAAAATCCACAGGAGCGGCCATCCGCCAAGAAGCTCACCGAGATTTTCAAAGGAGCCTTGTCGTCGGTCAACGAGTAGCCGATCTTACCAACGAACTTGAACTTGAAATTGTCCGATGAGAACAGCGCTGTACATATAAACCACCTTCCCCAAGATCGTAAAATTAATCGGCGACATTTTGATCATTTGGTTTCTTCAATGACTTCTTTTGAGTGGGGGAATGACCCGATTGTCATTGTTGCTGATGTTGGTGGTGGTGGAGATGTCATTGTATTGTTGTTGAATATGTGGGGTCTGTGTATTCATGTGGTGATAAATTCGCTATACTATAATTTGAACTTGAGTGTATGTAATTCACGAGTCCATGAACATTAAACGTTGCCCCCTGATGAACTTCTTTTTTTAACAGATCATTGTTGTTAATACATTAATCAAATTGGTAATGACATGCGCTGTATAGAACAGAGTGCTATATACAACACACAAAAATCCGACTACTCAACATTAATCAAACGTCATAATCTAATATTTTCACTCTGTTAGTTGAAATTCTGTGTACGTTTGTATGTTCAATACCATCATATCAAATTGATTTATATCTAATTATTCCCCCTTCTATATAGACGTTTTAAGTTGCCTCATACAATCTGAGCATATACAGCGTTGATCACATTTATTTCTTTGATTGATATTATAACCTTCAAAATCATACGTCTTTATTTCTCTTTTGTTTTAGTCACCATTTCCCCCTTTTGATTTCTCTTCCTTTTTTTTGGATTTAATGACCTTATATATCATTGTTCTTGCGATACATGGAGATGTTTATTGATAGATTTATATGACTGTATCCTCTGTTACAACTATAAACATGTACATTATGTTTTCTATATGGTATGTTTAGTTATAATAGTTACCATGTTCATCAATCATTATGTTCAATTATGTTATATTTGATAAAGTGAAATAAATAAACTTAAAACTTGAAACAATAATGAGCCTTTCTATTGTGCTTCCAAAGTTTCTTATACCTGAAATGAATTCCTTTGTAAATGGTATATAGTACTTGAATTATCAATTTTATAACTTAATAATTTTTGGGACCATATACATGGACATTTTTATACCTGAAATTAAGTCCTTTGTAGTTGTCAAAAAGTACTTGAATTATCAATCTTATAACTTGATAATTCTTTCGATCATATTTATGGAAATTTTTATACCTGAAATTAAGTCCTTTGTAAATGTTTAATAGTACTTATATTATCAATCGTACAACTTCATAATTCTTGGGATCATATATATGGAAATGTTTATACCTGAAATTAAGTCCATTGTAAATGTTTTATAGTACTTGAATTATCAATCTTGTAACCTGATAGTTCTTTGGATCATCGACCTGTCAGGCCTTAGTAGGCTTTTACTGATGGTCCCTTTTGTTCTTCTTACGTTATATGAATTCAGTTAGTATACGCTGTATTTTACCTTGATATTCTTTGTATATATTGACATTGTAAGGTACGATTAAGATTTGTGAGGTAAAACTCTTTATCTAATGATCTCCTACCTTGCATCTAAATAATATCTTACTTGTAATAATGACTTGATTAGATATCCTTTGTTTTCCGACGCTATTTTAATCTGTATTTCAACATACTAGTTTCACTTAAATAACTCAACTTATTAACTCACACCAATATACATATATTCATGAATTACATAATGGTTTAAATAATTACATAGCATTGCATTAATCAGTAACGAAGTATGTTTTCTTCTTCTGAAATGCTTTTTTAGTCGTAAAGTTGTATTTTATAATACCAGTCTTCATAATAAACTAAGGTACAATTAAGATTTGTGATTAGAAAGTGCAATTAATTCGTTTTTATGCCTACACTTATATTTCTCACTTCAATTATATAATATGTATATACAGTGTATATGATATTTTACCCAACTAGACGAATTTGTAGTTAGGTACCTATTTTTTCATTAAACGTTCTTCTTTTATTGTTCCGTTTATGTTACGATTGTCTTGATTGTATATATTTTGTAGTTTTTAATCTGGAAATTTGTTAATCGGTTTGTTTTTTTCCCTTTGTCACTATGATTCGATTTTGTACTCAAATTTCTGTAAATATGTTCATTCATTATAACTTGAATATTTGTTTGTAAATTATATTTTCATTGTTTTATATTCTATTCGATTTTTATGTAATCACGGCATCGCTGAAAAACAACTTTTGCTGAATGCGGGCACAATTATTGTATTTGTTTTTAACCGTGAATAAATAAATTATACAATACCAATACCGTACTATTAATGATTTTTGCAAGTCGGCCTATGTCCACGATAACATGTTACGAATATATAAACTTTAAATCATTTTTATTTCAGTCAATTACGACGTGAGGTATTTACTGTAAAAAAAAAATTCACGGCATAGTTTATAAAGAAATAACAACTGTAAAAAAAATTCAAGTTAAGCAAATAACACAAAACATTGCCGCTATTATGATATCCATTTCCATGAATGGACATTGCTTAACCTGTTTTTAGGTTTTTCTATTTGTATTTGATTAAATGTTGCTAATATGTCTCCATTAAAGATTATATACTTAGACGTTAGTTTACCTTAGGTTTTTGTGTAAATGACGTTACTCTTAATTCCTAACAACCTTTTTCTAACAAGAATTGCTGTTTATTTCGGAGCTTGCCACGAAATATTATTTTGCACTGTTGCGTTCTCTTTGAAACATTTGAAAAAATAATACGCTTTACCAAACTGATCATAAATTTTTTCGTTTTAGTTAAGATCCGTGTGAAATTATCAGAAATATTAGAAAATACTGCTACAACATATTAATTGAATATATCGGTTCAGTCAGTAGAGCGTCCGCCGCACAATCGGAAGGTCGTGGGTTCGATCCCCGGCCGCGTCATATCAAAAGACGTTAAAAGACGGGAGTTGCTGCTACCTTGTTTGGCGTTCAACAATAAGGGATAGAGCAACGTCGATCTGGCGCTGCTCAGTGGCTGCCGGGCTCACGATCAATTGGGTAAAAAGAATTTCCATTTTCGGTTTAATAAAATTTGGAGTGGACTTTAAAAGATTATTATTATTATTATTATTATTATTATTACTTGTTAAGGTGTTGCAAATCACAATCTTAAGTCACACTAGAGCTTACGACCGGCCGCCCTCTCCTGATAACCACTGCTCGCCAGTCAGTTGTCAGAGATTGCAGAGAGGTATTTGACAGTCTTTAAAAGGTTGACAGTGGTCAGCGCTTGGTCTCCGGAGCATTTTGGTCGGCTAGAGGTTTACGCTGCTGCATCGAAAACCTTTTGCCGACCAAAGTGGTTGTGGAAAGGTTTTTCTTGGTCTTCCAAGGGTTGGCGACAGTTCTCAGACTGATTGCCGACTGATCACCAGTGCTTGTAAATAATTTTTCCATGTGATTTACCTCTTTAAATGTGACGAGTTTTATTCATCGGTAATATATTTGTATGTCACCAATTTTGTCAAGACATTAAAGGTAAAGACCAGTTATGGTCATGCGATTGCATTGTGAAAGAAACGTTGTGGAATCGATCAGAAAAGGTTGATCATCTAGCATCTAGCATCTGCAAGGTTCTGGAATCATCAAAATGATAAGAAATTTGGCCCATTCTTCGTAAAGTTACAAGCACTATACACAAAAAGATGTATATGGGACTACCCTATATCTCTCACAGACCATGAGAGAAACAAATTTACCAAATATATGAATTAGTAGGCGGTTTCCCAACAAATTTGTTATCATCATGTATTAGTCAAAACATATTCTTTCACATGATTGGTAATGAGAGCTTCCATTTCATTTTTTGAAATTGGGGCGTTTCCAATACTGGTCTTTACCTTAAAGGTACTATGTCCCTTTTGCAGCCAACCTCAAATTCTGTAGAACTTTGCAGGAAACATGAATATGTCATGTATGTCCTATCTGTGAAATCTGAACGTTAGCAGTGTCCTAATATCCAAATTATGCAAGGAAACCTGTTTACTTGCTAGACTTCACTGCCAGACACCATTGGTATGGTAATAACACATGGTAATAACATTCATAAAATGAGCTGTAAAGGATTTGTCTACATCAATAACCCACTTCTTGTAATGGCCAAAATTAAACTGATTGAATCATTGTGCAGCATAAAACGTACGACCATACGGTACAATGGTGTGAAAATCAAGACTATTACTTATTGGCTCTATAGCTCCTAAGTCGATTTGACAACTAACTGTCGTTATTTTCCCACTTAAAGCCATTTTCACGCCCCATTTTTTAAAGGAGAGTTCTAAATTAGTATTATCTTTCAAATGCCATTGGAATTTAACTTTTCACTTTTTGGACCTGCAAAAGGGACATAGTACCTTTAACATAGAAAATTTTCCCACTTAAAGCCATTTTCACGCCCCATTTTTTAAAGGAGAGTTCTAAATTAGTATTATCTTTCAAATGCCATTGGAATTTAACTTTTCACTTTTTGGGCCTGCAAAAGGGACATAGTACCTTTAACATAGAAAAGATGTTGTGTTGTACGAAGAAATAGCGCCTTCGGTTTCTGGTAATAGGTTAACGCATACACATCATACTTATGTTATTACCTAGATTGCCAGCTTTTGATTTATGTTTATGACAATCTGTAGACATTCTGTTATCTAAATACTTGTGTATATTTTCTAAAATATCAAATTTGAAGAAGAAAAAAGGGAATGTAACTTGAATTATATAGATTGAATCGAATCTACTGAACAATAAATACATGAAAGAAAACCGTTACGTTTCTTTTTTCAACATTTAATAGGAGTGTTTGTAAATGCAAGATTGGATTAGATGTTAAAAAAGCGTATGGCAATGTTGTGAATATAGTTGGGCATGTGCCTTGTAAAAAAGAAAGGCGAAAATTGGAAGGGATATGAGAGAGCCTGAAAGAGAGAGAGAAAAATAAAAAGAGAGAGAAAAAAAATAAAGAGAGAGAGAGAGGGGGTAATAGAAAAAGAGAGAGAGAGAGAGAAAAAAAAAGAGAGAGAGAACAAAAATAAAGAGAGAGAGAGAGGGGTTAATAGAAAGAGAGAGAGAAATATGAGGAGAGGGAAAGAAAGAAAGGGAAACTTGAACAGAAGAATGGGTGAGCATATCTCGATTCGCCCCTCGACGAACTTCATTTTTTTTTTTATTAAATTTATTTGTTGTTTGATAATCTCGGGGATAATCTATTCATGAAAATGTTTTCCAACTGCCCTCCATCGTGACACGCATGTATGCAAATATCAGACTTGAATATGATGGACTAAAAATATGAAAAAAGAAGAGAATCTAATAACGTATGCCATCACCCATTTATGACGTCGACGTACCGTATTAGGTTCACGCATTGCAGGAGGGGTAATCGATGTGGGGGGGGGGGGGTTATTGTCTAACTAGGAAAATGAAATTAAGATTTATAGGACAACTGATTTGAGGGGCGAATGGTGCGGAAGGTCCAGCTGGCGTTTTCTCAAGTCATCTTTCTCTGCCTCTCTTTTTCTACCCCCCCCCCCCACACCTCTTTTCTTTTTGTTATTATAAACCTGTTTGATTATATTTTTCCGCTTTTCGAGGTGAGGTGGGGGACGTTCGTCGTGTAAGCTACCTCCTCCCCTCTACTCCTACGCCGCAGGGTTCTGCTTCTGTGCCCTTGCTGCCTTCACACAATTTCGAATAATTAAGATATTTCAAAGGAAAGTTTAAAACGTACACTAAATGAATTCATATAAAATAAGAAGAATTAAAGGAACAATCATTAAAACCATATTGAGGCCTGATAAGTTGATTGTCCCAAGAATCGACAAGTTAAGTAATTACTAATTCAGTGGAAGAAGAAAAGTATTAAGTAGAACAATTGTGTTTGGGTATTAAATTTAAAAGTTGAAATAAAAACACTAGAAAAAATGATGACAATATATTAATGAGAAGATAACGGGTATAATTTAATCTTACTCAAGTTAAAACTATTTTGAATTGAGATTTCTCTTAACGAGAAGGACAAGGAATTTCACACAACACTTCCAAAATTATAATCATGAACTAAATAGTTTTAAAAAACCTGTGCATCAAATATACGGAGGAAGACTACAAGAAAAATAGCGATGCATACTTGCAGCAATTTTAAACTTATCTGTATCATGAAAAGTATTGGTACAGATGGAGAATATAAAACTTGCATTACAACAAACGCGTAAAGCTGGTTTCTCCAGCTAATAAGTGGACAAGATGAAACTGTTATACACAACAAAAAGCTACATGGGAGAAAATTGTTTAAGTGACGACGAATACCTGCACTAAGCAAAACGTTTGTACAGACATAGTTGACATGCGAATCCCATTTTAAGCGCTGATCAATTAATACCCCAAGGTAATTTGCACAACAAGTTGTAGAGCAAGTTACCATGCCTTTATTATATGAGAGATGCATCACTTTTAACAGTTCCCGACTGTATTACACATGCCACGTATAAGACGTAGCTAGTCAGAGTAATATGTCCCATCATTTAAGGCCCTCTGTGAAAAAAAATAATTACTGACTCTGAACTTCTGCTTGCATTGTTAATATGCCCGCGTCACACTGTCCCAAAGTTGACACCAGATGGACACACGAATGTGTAATTTTGAATTTCGCCCGGAGTTGGCCCGAACTTGGTCAACAGCCAATCAACAGACAAAGGATGTACGATGCCTAAAGAAGGTCAAACCACACACGAATGCAACACGAAGATGTAAATTTTTATTAAGTAGTTAACCCAGAGGCCACATGAAGGCCACACGATGGCTACACGACGTCGCACAGTGGGCCAGGGAGGAACCAAAGTGCGCCAAAACTCATGTTTGGGGATTTCTTTTTTGATAAATCCAGAGGAAATGTTTGGATTTCCAGGGATTTTCGCTAAAATTTTCTTTGATGTCTAAGC